ACAACTCGGGCTTTGTATCTCGGCTTCAGCCCGTTCTCTTCATTCTTAATCTTGTAGACCCATTTATTTTTCAGAGCTTGTCTTCCTTCAGGCAACTCGGTCAGCTCATAAGTCTGATTCTCGTGCAAAGACTTCATCTCGTCTTGCAATGCCTTTTCCCATTCTTCTTTCTCTGAGCTCGTTACAGCCTCATCATAACTCTGAGGCTCACCGTCTTCAGCAACAACAGTGTATTCATCAGATGGGTACCTTGTAGAGGGTCTTTTTTCTCGAGTTGGATATCTCGGCTGTTCTTCAGCTTGAGAACCCGGTTCATCATTTTCATCCCGGATTTCAACTTCAACTCGGACCTCAGTGACTTGGTCATCATTTTCTTCATTCTCTTGATTTTCTCCCCCTGCTTCAGCTCGAACAGGAGGAACGAGTTCTTCACGTCTGACAGTAACCCAGACTTTGAGCTTCGAAATATCATGAATCTTCTCATCTTCATGAAAGATCACATCTCGGCTTCTTACTATCTTCTTATTGATTGGATCCCAAAGTCGGAACCCGAACTCACATCTCGGCGAACCAAGATAGATGCATTTTTTTGTCTTCGAATCGAGTTTTGCCATTTCATCTTTAGGGATATGCACAAAGGCTCGGCATCCAAACACCTTTAATTGATTATAGGCCACTTTCCGACCTGTCCAGACTTCTTCTGGAATTTATCCTTCAAGTGGCCGTGATGGTGAGAGGTTGATTAAATCAACAGCAGTTCTGACGGCCTCTCCCCAAAATGATTTCGGCAATCCGGCATTGGATAACATGCTTTGAACCTTCTCTTCAATAGTCCTGTTCATCCTCTCAGCGAGTCCATTCAACTGTGGATCCTTGGGGGGCTTCTTCTCAAGTCGAATCCCGGCCGCTCTGCAGTATGCATCAAATGGGCCGCAATACTCACCACCATTATCAGATCAGACCACCTACAATTTATTGCCAATCTCCCTTTCAACCATTGCATGGAATTCTTTAAAGGATTGGAGTACCTGATCTTTAGACTTCAACAAATATACCCTCACTTTGTGGGAATGATCATCAATGACTGAAACAAAGTATTGAGCTCCTCTAAGGGACCTTTCCGACATGGAGCAGACATCAGTATAGACGAGGTCAACAATATACCTACGTCGTCTGGGTTGATCCGGTCTCACAAAAGAAACCCGGTGCTGCTTTCCAGTTAGGCAGTGCGTGCAACTCTCCAACGCTTGGCCTTTCAACCCGGTCAATAATCCTTTCTTGTTCAGGATTTGGAGCCCTTTCTCGCTCATGTGGCCGAGGTGCTTGTGCCATAGCTCCAAGCTAGGTTCATCTCGGACAGAATTGGCTTCTCCGTCATTGATCTTTCCTTGCATCACGTACATGGAGCCTTCCTTCTTACCTCGGGCCACGACCAAGTTTCCCTTGGCCAGCTTCCATCTAACACTGCCGAAGTAGTTCACTAACCCGACATCGTCAAGTTTGCCTACCGAGATTAGGTTCAATCGCATGTCAGGTACATGCCTCACATCCCTCAACACAAGTCGGCATCCGACATCTGTGGTCAGGGTTACATCACCGACACCAACAATCTTGCTGGTCACTTGATTTCCATTTTCACGACTCCAAAATCACCACCTCGGTAAGAAGAGAAAAAACCTTTGTGTGGAGTAACGTGGAAGGAGGCACCAGAGTCAACAATTTAGGTGCAGTCATCATATGCAACATTCAAATAATTATCCTCACCTAGGAGGAATATCTCGGCATTCGAGTTGGCAACCACCGCAGTGGTGCTCTTGCCTTCCCTCTTCTTGGAAATAATCTGATCCGGCTTCACACAACCGTTCTTCTCATCATTCTGCAAAGTCCAGCAGTCTGGCTTCTTATGACCTGTCTTTCCACAGTAAAAGCACTTCAACTCATATCTCGGCTTTTACCGACCTATGGACTTTTCTCGCCTGTCACGACCTCGACCCCGACTCTTGCTTCTACCCCGGGAGTCAGATTTCCCTCTATTCTCAGCAACGTTGGCTTCAGACGTGCTCGAAATACCTCGTTCTCTTCTCCTGGCTTCTTCGCCTAAGAGGTTGTCTGTCACGACATCCATCTTCAATTTTCCATCTGGAGTCGAATTATTCAAGGTCACCACCAGAGTATCCCAGCTTTCTGGCAGTGAGCTCAACAGCAACAAGGCCTGCATCTCGTCATCAATTTTCATCTTAGGCTTTGACAGCTGATTCATAATACCTTTGTAGGTTTTGAGGTGTTCAATCATACTCATGCCGTCCTTGTATTCCAGCTACACAAGTCGGCGAACCAGGTATGCGTTGTTCCTGGGAGTCTTCTTCTGAATCATGGACTCCAACTTCGTCCACAACTCGTACGCGTTCGTAAACTCAGACACATACTCAAAGAGGCTTTTGTCAATATATTTTCTGATCGTAGCTACCGCCTTACGACTCTTAATCTCCCACTCCTTATCGGTTTTGCCTTCCGGTCTCCCATCACGGATAATGGGCTCATGTAAATCTTTGCAGTAGAGATGATCTTCTATCATCGGTCTCCAATAGGTGAAATTGTCTACGGTCAGCTTGAACATATATCCATCATGAGTTATGCCACTGGTCTCCATCTCGTCTCCCTCAGAACCCGTCGAACTCGGGCTCTGATACCATTGTTGGGAACACGGTAGATCGGCTCAGGGGCCTTTGCGGAAGTCAGTCAATGAGATCCTGGATCATGGATCTCAGCAATACCTCGGCCTGAACTTCACCAGGTTGGGTAACGCAGTGGAAAATCTATACAAAAAATGGGAGAGAGAGAGAAGGAGAGAGAAAGAACACAAGCAGTTTTTAACGTGGGAAAACCTTCTCCAATGAAGAAGTAAAAACCCACGGGACCTAGTCCAGATCAAAAATCCACTAGGAAAATAATGGTTACAAATAATCTGAATCACCAATGTGGTGGTTAACTCAACCTCTCCAACAATGGTGATAATCAAACCTCCCTAGAGATGTTTCACTCAAACTCTCTCTAGAGATCTCTCAAATACAAAGCATAAAGCTTTGCTCAAACATTTTTCTCTCAAATTTCTAATCTCTTTCTTAATCTCTGACCTAGCCTCCACCCACAACTAATGAATATATAGAGGAGGTGAGATCTAGGTTTATGGTTTTTTAGGAAACCCCTCAATGGGCTTGGGCTTAGCATTGAAGGAGGAAGCCCAACAAATCGAAGGTGGGAACCTTGGAAGGTCATTGGAGTTCGAATTATGCAGAAAAATCTGCATTTTTGCGTTCTGGACAGGTGGTAAAATCTATTACCTAGTGCAAATATGACAACAACGTACTAGTTTGGTAAAATCGCGATGTCTCAAGCTAGAGACCTCCAAATTGAGTGAGGTTTGAACATATGTGAAACTAACCCATAAAGCTACCATTCTACAAAATTTCAGATCCATTGGACAATTGGATTGATAGAGGTTTGAGTTTTAAGTTTCTGCCTTGCAGTGGAAAATTCTGTTACCTTGCGAAAATATAACCGGAGTTATACAACTCTGATTGAGACATAAAATATCTCGTTGGAAAGCTTGAGATGTCTAGTTTAACATATTAAAATATTAGAACTTTTGGTAAAGATTTCCAACTGTATTTTTAAAAATGGTAAAGACAGTTTGTGCTTAGGGGCTTTGGGAGAAGCGTGCAGTACGCTAAACGAAAAAGAAAACATGTTCCATATGACTTGAAATTGTAGGATATGATTATTGATGATGTGTTTGCCACTAAATCAGATTGTGACTAGCTGGATTGTTTGGTTGTCGGTGACCACATTGATACTGAGTTGGTATTAAAGGACTTTACCGATACAGGTAAGCTTTTGGTTCTCGATTTTATCCATTACTTATTCTACCAAACCCCGTAGGGGATTGGTTTATGTGCATGGTATGTTTTCTGGAAATTATATCTGTTATGTTATGAGTATTGGATATGCTGTTGAGCTGGATTATGGAATTATATCTGTTTATGTTATAAGTATTGGATATCTTGTTGAGTTGTATTCTGTTATAGTGCATTGCTACATGTATATGTAGGTGGGGTAGTGTGCACAACACCTGTGAGGGGTTCTGAGCATGGTGAACTCCATGTAAGAGGTAGAGCTGCTGTAGTGTGGGTATAAGGTGAACTCCTTATACTTTTGAGTAGGTTGCAGACGTGCGTAATACCTACATTATTCTCTGGCCAGTAGGATTATGATTTGCGCACCCACATGATGTATGTTTGAGGATGCATACACACATGACATGGACATATGCTGCGTTGCACACTCATTTGATATATTGCATGACATGCTCATTTTATATACTATATTGTTTAATGCTATAAATGACCCTGTATAGCCATTCCCTTTATCTTGTTATTAATCTTCTTCTTTATATTTTGCATGCACTATTTTAGAACTTATATTATACCTATAAATGAGCTTGGGGTAGAGGATTCCTTAAGGACCCCTTGTCTTACTGAGATTTCTGTTAGAAATCTCAAAAAGAAATTGTTTTTTGGAGACTGTAGTTTCTCAAAATTATAGTCCGTCCACAACAGGATAATTTTTATATTTTTATACTTTTATAATTTTTATACTTCTTTAAAGAAGTGATGACACTTATACCTTTAAAGTTTAAAGGATTGAAATACATGATAACCAAAAAAAAAAGAGGATTGAAATACAGGTTTTATCTTTTATTAATTAACACTGGCTCTCTTTGAATAATAGTCCCTGAATGTTGGATCTCAACTCTTAAGTCCTGAAGAGCTATATCTTGCTCAATCTTTTAACAGCAGTTGTAACTAAGAATACAACAATTCAACAAAATATAGAATCAACTCTAATTTAAAACTCTGGAACATAATACTCATCACATTATATATAAAGAAATCCTACAGTTCATTCTCTGCACCCCTTTTGAGCTGATTGATTCACTTTTTTCATGACCCAACCAACCCCTTTTTGCGAGCATGGGTAACTATGACGAGAAACAAAACAGTGCAAAAAACTCCAGTAAAAGTAACTACCTGCCAATAAAAAAAAAAATATATTACATTCTTTATTCTCATTAAAAAATTGCAGCATATAATGTTTAATTGCATACCCATTTGAACAAGTAGCCATGGTTTTGATTCCAAGAAAATGGAAAATTCATGCCAAATATTCCAGTCACCAAAGAATAGAAAGATAGAGAAAGGTCTCCCGAGTTAAGAAACATCTCTAACTGTAAACAGTGTTGAAAAAGATGGACACAAATATTCAAAGGCTTAGCAACATAAAAAAATAATAATATAGTATCGAAATAATGAATAATGATATATGACATACATTATGTAAAAATTAAAATCTATAATAGCACCTGAATCAACTGATTTCGATGGTTGTCAATCTGCAAAATATGACAAACTTGTATAACATGTCTTTCAGCAAATACCAATAGGTAATACCAATAAATTGCTGGATTCTTGCCTGAATATTAATATAATCTTCAGTATCATCAATATATCCTTGTAGCTGTAAATGAAAATTAATTAGAAATGTATAATACAAAACCTTTATATATGATTTATAAATCATATATATATATATATATATATATATATATATATATATATATATATATATATATATATATTTGAATATATCCACCAGTTCATCAGCAACACAATTAATTCAGTTCAAATACTGTCAAACCCAATATATGGGTAACTCTCCCAAAACCATTTTTTTATTTATTAATTTTTAGGACTTAAACTCGAAATCTTAGTTAAGGAGAATAAACTCCTACTATTTAAACCAATGGTTGCTGGTAAAACAATTTGATATTTCAAGTAAAGCAAATAATGTTGAACAACATGGGTGTGTGTGAGTGTGCGTTCTATTCTCGGTAACCTAAACAAAAAAACATGATCAGATTTGAAGACAACATATCAACCTTTTGGCAGAAAGAATGAAGGTTGTCGAGGTTCCTTCTTCCTAATGCATCGGTAGGGTCCCACCGACACGCAAGTTAGGGATCAGTGGCGGAGCCAGGATTGGAGGAAAGGGGGGGCGAAAATTAATTTTTTTATCTTGCATATATAGTATCACTATTTTATTACCTATTGATCTCATAAGAACTCATTTAGGTAAATTTCTTACCAAAATATTAACATTTAGCAACATTTGAAAGACTGAAAAAATGTACTATTGGTCAGGTCCAACGAACATAAAAAGTAGTTTAAAGTAATAATTAAAAAAAAAGTGTCTTAACTAAAACAATGCTTTTAACTATATTTTTTTTAAAAAATAAAATAAAAGACTGCAACCAAGTTGTCCCAAAAAGTGAATCTTTTAAGTTAGAGCAAACTCATTTTCTCTATATGAAACTACTACACAAGAGAAACACAACTATGCAAATAAAAAGAGAGCAAAAGGGTGACAAAAAGGCTAAAGCTTTCATTAACCAAAACATAGCATATAAAAATAAATAAAAAATGCAGAAAAGGTTGCATATAACACATACATTAGGTGAAGTGGAGATAGATTTCAACTTGAATTTCAAATCAGAACTTCCACAAGAAGCACATGTAATAATAACAACAGTAATATGTTTGGCTTTCAACTGCATTAATTTTTTTTTAATTTTTTTGGAGGGGGAAAGGGGGTGGCCGCCCACCCTAGCCTCCCCATGTCTCCGTCCCTGTTGGGGATTACAAAACCTCTGGGACTAGTCAAAGAATACTTGGCCTAACGGGGATGGAGAAATATCACCCCTTAATAACAAAAATTTACTCTTGAGGCAGAAAGTGCTTTAGTATTGTGACCAATATTAGTAGAATCGAACCGACTGCTGATCCAAATTGTTGGTCTGGAAACTGGCCCATCAACCAGTTTGATTCAAACAATAGATTGGATTATAAATTTTGTGAACGTTTGGGGGTTCGAATCTGTATCATGAGAATGACAAATATAATATTTTTCACTGCGCTACATTTAATTGCTTATTAAGGTGTACCCTTTAATATAATTATTATATAATTTCATAGAATTATTTCACAAGTTGCAGCTAGTAGGGGTTCAACACTTGTCATGGGTTGAAGCAACCTATTACTTATCACTAGGCTATATTGGATTATTGGTGAAATTGTACTATTTAAAATATTTATTATATAATTAATTATAAAACATAAATTTTTATACATTTATATGAGTCGTGACAATTCCACTAGTTAAATTAGAGATTCACTGCTCGGTACTCCGACCAAGTCGGTTTGGGTATAATAAAATTGATTGTGACACTTTGAATATATAGAATCACCATCTTCTCATAATGAGAACCAATTACAAAAGAAGAAAAACAGCTACATCAAAGGTTAAGTATATCTGAATACGTCTACAAAAAGAAAAAAATTGTACAACTGAATGACGACGAACAATGAATATTATAAATTCTCAAATAGAAAGAAGATGGTTTTTAGTTTAAAAAAAAAAACAAATTGAGAGAATAATTTATAGAAGTGTAAGCTCTGAGTTAGTACATAAAAATAAATATTTTTCCGTATTTTCAACTATACAATATTCCAAAATAATTTAATCTATTATCTATCTATATATACATATACATACATACACACATATATATATATATGGGGAAAGATATTGTAACAATCAAAGTTGTGTTACTAACATGTTACTACCAATCAATCTCATCGTTAGATTGATTTATGTTGATCCAATGGTTATATTTATTTTCATCTTTGTATGGTTATGATTCTCCATATTTAAAGTGAAAACATTAAATATGGGAAATCATAACCATACAAAGGTGGAAATAAATATAAAGTATTAAATTTGGAAAATCATGACCATACAAAGATGGAAATAAATATAACCGTTGGATCAACATAATCGATCAAACGGTGAGATTGATTGGTAGTAACTTGGTAGTAACATAACTTGGTTGTTACAATATATTTCCCCTATATATATATATATATATATATATATATATATATATATATATATATATATATATATATCTTATTTATACCTTTATATTAAATTTGAGTTCACTAATTTCTGAGTGGTTAAATTTTTTACTGCACTCTCAATTAAAGAATCACATAAGTCATTCTTAACTTTTCTTCTTTTAATCTTAAAATTTAAATTCTTTGAATTAGTTATATAAATCTTCTTTTTAATTTTAAATATTTATTTTTTTAATTTATATTTATTTTTATATTCTTCTTGAAGTAATTATGTACATTTCTGTTATATTTTAAACATTTTTTCTTAAATAAATTTTCTCTTTTAATTTATAATTTTTATATTGGCAACACACCGATATTTGCTTTGAACAATTAAGAAGACGAAGGAATCTAGGAAGGAGGACTGCCCTATGGATGACGAGATGGGAGAAGAAACCACAGAGGAAGGGCTAGCCAGAGCAAGCTCAAGGGATGCAAGGCCTAAGGATGGAAACGCGAAGATTATTCAGGGAAGGAACCTCGTTTCCTACAGGGATAAGGTTCTGGCCCTGAATGGTCAAGCAACGGATTATGACTCCGAGGAAGAAGACTGGGTGGAAAGGCAAAGGAAAGAAGAGGAGGAAGATGGGGAAGAAGACGTAGCAGGGGAGTTTGAACCTCTATGTCCAACGTACCATTTCTCCAAAAGCCAACACAAAAAGGAGTGTGAACAATGGAGGAAAGCCCTCATTATTAAGTTACTTGGAAAGAGGATGGTGTCAAGCTACCTGATGTTCCGTTTGCAAAATATGTGGAGCTTGGTAGGGTCTTTTGAGCAATTTACTTTCGATAATGGCCACATCCTGCTCAAGTTCTCAGATGACAGGGATTATCATCATGTACTCCATGAAGGTCCATGGATCGTCGCCGACCACTACTTGGTAGTTCAACGTTGGAGGCCTTTCTTCAACCCGAATAATGACTCTCTGAAAAAACTAGCAGTGTGGGTACGAGTTTGTGGTATTCCTATGGAATTCTATTCCTCCTATCATGTCTGGAGAATTGGCAACTTATTGGGAAAGACTTTAAAGGTGGATAAGAGATCCATAAGGAGAAACGAAGGAGAAGACAGAGATGTCATTGACAAGGCCAGATTTGCCAGAATATGCATTGAGGTTGACCTGCGTAGAAGCTTTGTTCCTTCATTTAAAATAAGGGATGAGGTCTTTCCGGTGGGCTACGAAGGTTTACATCTGATTTGTTTCTCCTGTGGGAAGTATGGCCACAGACAGGATCAGTGTGAGGCTCCTAAGGAACAAGAGCACGGGCATACGGGTTCAATTGAGAGACCTCCCCATAGCTCAACCTCTAGTGATGGACCCGCCCCTGAGACTAAAAAGAAGGACGAACCAAAGGAAACAGAGGATGTGTTTGGAGAATGGATGGTGGTCCAACGTCGGAGAAGCGAAAACTGACAAAAGCCAGGCCAGGAAAATAGGTCAACCGGCATAGCCACTTGTACAACGGCGGGTGAAAAAGGCAGGGCTGAACAACCTAGAAAATTGAAACCTACCAACAGGGTAGCACCAGACATAGCTCAGAAACAACCTGCTGTAGCATCAGGGAGTCAGAATTTTGTTACACTGAAATTCACCCTGTCAACAGTGCCATCTAAACCTGATCCCGCAGTCTTGAAGCCCAGTAAGGCCCACATCAACAAGCCCACATCGAGCCCCCATCTTCAAATTTTGGGGCAAAAGAAACCCTTTGCTTCCACTGAGATGCAGATTGACGATTTAGAACTAGAAGCTAAAGGGATTAACGAGCTGGAAAAAGAAAATATTCCTGAGGCCTTAACCCAGATGAGTCGTATGCCAAAAGGCCAGGAAGATGTTTTGTTTGACCAAACCTTGCTAGACGCGGGGGGTACTGGGGTTCTCACCAACTAGTCTTGGCCCAGCCCAATGGGTTCGTTTTTTTCTTTTTGACAATTTTATGATTATTGTATCTTAGAATTGCAGGGGGCAGGAAAAAGAGGTTTTTCCACCCTCATGAAAGACTTGAAGTTCAATTTTAGAATTAATATTCTAGCCCTCTTGGAAACTAGTATAAAAGGTCAACAAGCGGACAAGCTGTGTAAAAGGCTTGGTTTCTCTAACTGCTACAGACAAGAGGCTATTGGGTTCTCCGGAGCTATCTGGCTCCTCTGGGATGACAATAATGTTAACATCCAAGTTCTCAAAGCCCACCACCAGTACATCCACACGAGGGTCCTCTATCGCAGTAATAATAAATCAGAACTCGTGACCTTCATCTATGCTAGCTCGAGGCTCACTGAGAGGAGGACTCTGTGGGAGGACCTCCCTAACCTGTGCAGGAATCCCCTTGAACCGTGGGTCCTTCTTGGGGACTTCAACTCTATCATCCATGCTGATGAGAAGGTTGGTGGTGTCCAAGCCAGCAGTAGGGATATGGAGGATATTCAATCAGCTTTTTTCGATTGTGCTGTGGATGATGTGGGTTTCAAAGGTCCCAGATTCACCTGAAGAATAGGCAATCTCCATC